AAAAGACAGATCGAGTTCGAAGATGAGCATTCTAGCTCAAAAAATTGACTTTTTTAAAAATCGAAAACCGCAGGTTGCAAAATGTATTTTTTTCAAATATTTTTTTATGGGTTACTAAGGGGTAACTCGTCAAAGTATAGCCCTCAGGGCGAAAATTTCGTCCGTTTTGCTCTATCTTGTACCGTTTCGGCGCTATGGGGCATTTCTTGGCGAAAATAACGTGAAAAAGACAAAATGGTCCATTAAATCGTAAAACGGCTGCATGTCACAGAATTGTAAAGGCGGAGTAATACTTAAACTACAGGTCGCACTACACCCTCTTTAGAGCTTAAGGGTCCCTAGATTACCTAGATCTCTAAAACGTTGATTTTTACATAACAATCTGTCAAAATTCAAACTTTTAATGAAAACCGTTACCGAAACAGCAGAAGTTTCATGTCCCTAAGTTTAGAGTAAAAAGGCCCCGACAAATGGTTCGAGTATGTCAAATTTTGGCCCCGGAAGGCCCTGTTCCCCAATGCCCTCTCCTTAACTCGTCTCGGGTGTCAGCGCCGCAGGCCTAGCTGTATGTGCGCCAGGCGCGTCGCAGCGTAATAGTGTTTCGTGAGATATCGCGAAGCCTGTTACGCGAGACGTGATCTGGCGTACATATAGCTAGTAATAATGGATTGTCTTTGTCATTTAGGTTATGTCACCAACCAAAATGTTAACCCAGACCGTCACTTTAAAAATCCATAACGTCTGTTAGTATATTCAAATAGTTTCCCCCGATCATTTTTTTGGTATAAACTTGATCTTAGCCCGAGCAAGGCCTGGGCCTGAGCGAGCTTGTTTCAGCGATAACGAAGGTGAAAAATACGTACCGATTCGAGCGATTCCGACAGCTGGCGACTTGTGGCATGCTCACAAATTTCCATTGCACGGAGAAGTAAACTAAAATTTCACTCTGTGTCTATCTCGTCTGTTGCTCTGGCACACAACTGACTGGGACTGGCGACTGAGTGAGTGAGCGTAGCGTTATGTATAGGTTATGTAGTGACCTAAACAAGCTTGAAGAGATCCAATGTCTCCCCTCTGGCTTCGGAGCGACTCCGGCACTCGCGAGATCTTGCGAGTCCTCTCCTTGACCGAACGCACCGGTATGTGTCAATCGTTTACGAAAACTCCACTAAATGTTTTATAAATTTGACTTGAGCGAAATTCAAGTGCTGGGCAGTGACACTCTGCCCAAAACGGCGGCCTTCCGCTCGATCAGCCCACGAAGCTCCCCCCTTCCTCCCTTCTTTTTCCGTGGACTGGTTGAGGGGAAGGGGGGTACAGAGACAATCTTTGGTACTGTCTAAAAACGACTTGTTTTTTTCGTCTCCTCGCTCATCCATTTCCGTTGCCTCGACCGTTGCACCAGGTCGGTGTGGCGGTCACGGGCTCGTAATCATGACAGTTATGTCCGCCAGTCCTGCGTAGAGTCGCTCTGCTAGACGCTTCTACAGTTGGATGTCCTCGCACATCGCGTACCCCGCCGCCCGCACCTCGGGCCCGCCGGGCAGGTAGGCCGCGGTGCCGCGGTGCCGCAGGTGTGCGCCGCGGGTCCGCCTACCTGGCGCGGCGCTCCGCCGCGCGGGTGGCTGACTGGCAGGCCGTGCTGGAGCGGGGCGGCGGGGCAGGGCGGCCAAGCACCGGCGGCGCTGCAGCAGCGTGTAGAGCGGCTCTCGCCGGCCAGCTGGTCGCCGCTTGACTGTCCTACCGCACGCACAGACGCTCTGAACGACAATAAGGAGTGTCGAGTCTCGTTTTTCCGGTGCTGGACTCCCCGTTTTACGTTCTCGACGTGTCAGAAACATGAGGTTACCAACACACGCTGCATTGAATATGCGTCTTCGGCCATGCTCACACCGCACGCACGTTTTTGTGGGTGACGTCTATCACCCATCATTTCTATGTGACCTCTATACCTGCCCTGTCACGCACATCCCTCACTGCTAACCGGATCCCCCGCCCCTCCCCCCTAACCCACACCCACGTAGTATGGTTGTCTCTCAGACGCCTGAGACTTTCTATCTCACCATACCCCCCGCTGTCGCCCTCATCGCTCAAACTAATTGGCCGCCATCGTGTGATTTGCTCATGGCCACGTTCTCTTTTGCAGGGCCGCGGAGCACGCCGCCGGCGGGGGCTCGTTCGGCTCGGGCCCCGGGGGCGGTGGCGGCGGGGGGCCGCTCGGCCTGTCGGGCAGCCTGGGCCCGGTGGCGTCGCGCTGCCCCTCGGCGCGGCTGCGCGTCGAGAAGATCGAGGGCGGGCTGCTGGTGGCCGGCGTGGTCGTGGCCGCCAACTGCCAGCTCGCCCTGCCCGCCTTCGGCTGCCTGTTCCTGCTAGCGGGCTGCGTCCTCACAGGTGAGTGGAGCTCAGCATGGATGTGGTCCACCAGGACCATGAAAAGGTGGCTAGTTTCCCAGAAAAAAATCGAAATTTTTTGGAATATTTCCATATAAATTGAAAAAGGAATAAAACTCTCCAGGGAAAAAAATTACGGATTACGATTACAGAAACGAGTATAGAAATTTTTTCCAAAAACATTTTTTCAGAGAGTTGAAATCCCTAGTGGCCTAGTCACACACTCCCGAGGGGGCTGCACCGAGGGCACGCTCCTCCAACACATTCCCGCTCGTTTATCTCGTCCTGCTCGTTTTGGAGGCCAAACATGGCATGCAGCCTCCGCGCTGCACTGCTCGCTGCGCCGCGGGGCGGGGACGCCGGGCGATAGGCAGGGTGGCTGGGCGGTCGCGTCCCCGGCCAGACCCTAGACTGCGAGGGTGTGACGTCATCACATCCTGTGCCAGATACGCCCGCGGCCAGCCCGGGGTGGGAGGGCCTTTCACACTAGTGGCTGCCCCCTTCCCCCCCTCCTCAGGCCACCTCAGTAGTAGTGTGCGTGGTACATGGAGGAGAGCGAGTGTCGCAGAGTGCCCCACACAGTCGCGTGAAACTTTAATGGTTAAAACGATGACGGATCACCCGCCCGAGTGCTGCGAGCTGCTTTTTGGTCGTGTGACGAACTTTGTAAATTGCGTCTCTCTAATCCATTAAGAAAGGAACTTGCGCGTCCCTTTGATGACGGAAAGTTGAGGCCGTTGAGAAAGTTCCTCCCTCTGCTTCGGTTCTGCAGGCGGTCGGGGCTGGTACTGACGCAGTAAAGGTGTTAAGTATCACTGGGGTCACATAATTTATCAACTTTCTTCTCTCCTCCCCTCCACGGTGACCTCCACTACGCAGCAGAATGCAGCAAGGTGGTGGCTCCCGGCGCAGTCCGCATGTTAACAGCGCGGTGGCGTGCCGCACCAGCACCACCCCCTCTACCCGCACCCGCACACCTGCCTGAATTAACGTAGGCCGGAATTTCGCACATAACCATCAGGCGAATGCAAATACAGCAGCAATTCTGCGCGAGGAACGTAAAACGCGCATAATTTACCACGCCGGCGGTAAAAAACGGTGAAAAACACACACAGGAAAATTGGAACTTGTAGCAACCATTCTATAGTATAGACCAGGAATAACCATACAAAATGTCGTTGTACGAACACTCGTGTGGTACATCAACTATGAAAATTGTTCGGCGTCCTGTTTTCTTTGTTGGCATCACCATGTGCGTGTTGCTGCAACCATATAGGTTGATGGTTTTCCCTCATCTACTGCGTTCGGTGCTATAAGTTTCAGTTTTTTCTGGGCGATTATTGTTGACGTCCCCCTATACCGCGTTATAGCTATAGCCTGTGAAGCAACCCTATGAAAGGTCGCTGTTTTTGGATCAACCCTCCGCGATTTATGGGCAATCTGCATAAAAGATCGCCCCCCTCCCCCCAATCCCGTCAGCCACTCCTCTCCCTTTATTCTTTTTCCGGGGACAAGCCAATCATTTTAATGAATTCTGTGCGCTTTGCTAATCCGGCGCGCTGAATGGGGAAGCGAGTGAAAAAGAAGGGGAGGAGTTGGACCACTGTCGCCACCGAGCCGCCTCCGGCCAGCGCCTCTGTGGATCCAAAGCCCTTGTCATCCTTATCGCACTTCTTGTTCGGACGCGCCGCTGCTGCTTGTCGCCCGCGGGGAGGCGGCCAGTCCTGTCATCGCAGGGGGTAGTAGGAGGAGGGGGGTGGTGGCAAAAGTACGCCGCGCTATGCGGGCGAGAGGTGACCCCGAGAGACAGGGGATGGGGGTGGGGGGTCGCAAGGCCGCTCGCTGGAATGCGTGCTATGCCCGGCGGCGGGGAAGGTCGGGGGAAATCACCGCATCCCACTGATGTACTGGAGGACTGGGTCCACACATCTCACTCGCACCGCCCGCCCAGCGTCCCCCTCGTCGCCGCCCCGGTCCCCTCCGCGCCTCGTCAGCCAGCCCGCGCCGCCCCAACCTCCTGGCCCCCGGCCGGCCGGCGCGGCCCCTCACTTCGCCCCCCTTTCGCTGCTGATTGCAACTACTTATCCAAGGTCGCGCCGTGCCGGGCTACGACGCCAGAGTATAGTTCGTTTTCACGCAAACGACTTCCGGTCAATTTTCTCCGCGACCGCGGCTGCTGCCCCCTCCTGCCGCCCTCGCCTCGCTCGCCTCTTTGCACGCTCAATCCTCTGGGGATTAATTTGTCAGTCGCATTTGACAAATTTCACCTCTGGCTCTACTAATTGTTGTAAATGTTAAATTTTTTGTCCGTTGTTCGGTTGACTCATAAAATTTCTACGTAACTTGGACACACATGCGACCTATCTTGTCAACAGCAAGAGAGGAAAACTATTATTATATGGAAGTTTTAAAACGCCAAAACGTTTATAGTCAAAAAAGTCCAGTAAGGAATTGAGAGTGTATACTGTCTGCTCCTCTCCGGGCTGGGCCCCGTGGCCGCCCACCAGCATTCAACCCCCGGTCCCCTCCCCTTCCCCAAACACCCACACAGCGGAAGGGGTACAATAATACCCCACCAGTGAAGCCCGAAATAGTGCGCGCCCCGGCGACGGGAATGGAGCGGCTCGTTTGCGGAAGACACGACTTCCCTTCCCTTGTCTCTCCCCCGACTGCCTTCCGCCCGCGCCACGGCCCATGGCCACGCCGCGCCACCCGACACCAGGTAGCGCCGTGCTGCGCGGGCTGCGCGCGGCCTTAGCCTTTGCCCTTCGGCTGCCGGGCAGAGCCGCGCCGGGCCGAGCCGAGCACGCCCCCCGGCGCTCGTGGGACGATCCCAGCAGCGGGCGCACCTTGGAATCGTCTCCCTTTATCCCACCTCTCACGTCAGCAGTGCACACTTACACCCTTCACTGTGAAAAATACCTGCGGACACTGGTAAAACAAGTGTGCAATGTTTGCACACCAACGTGTGCAAGTTGTGATTTTGCACATTACATGGTGTTTAACTCAAGTTG